ACATTTCAACACTGTCACTCTTTTTGCATGGTCATTCTAAATTCCAACGTATTAGTATTATAGACAGACATAGCAAAAGTAGACATGTTTAAAATTATTGTTTAAAGGTACACCAACGCATCTATTTATATGAGATGGCAATTTTAGCAGTTAATCCATAATTCCCGCATCAACCTGTAGTCACACACACTGATACAGCATCGCAAGTTTCATCTCTTTGCAATTCCTAGTCGAAACCAACGTTCCCGTTCTGGAAACCTAAATAGCAAATCGGAATTATATCGTCCATCAGCCTCCCATCAGCAAGGTAATGAAATTCAGTTAGACGTAGGCAGATGAAAATCAAATATTGCCATAGAAATTATTCAAGAATTTCCCTCATCTACACTTAAGGGGAATAATAATTGGCCTAATTGCTGTCACAACCGTTTTATACATTAGTATGATTAGTAAGCGTCTAAACGGGGACCAGTGTATGTATCGGAAATCCAGGGGGATTTGGCTAAACCACACACTGTCGCGCTCCACGCCCATTTCGCGATGCCGTCTGTATTTGGAAGATGGATTTTAAATACTCAATTTTGTGATAGAAAGTTGGAGTTTTCGATGAGGGTATGTCTGTGAGGTCTCTCATCTTCACAGATTTGCGTCTATGACGTCGGTCTTCTGCTTTATATTTTGTATTGGGTCATTTATGCATCCTCCACCCTAGTTTAGTTGTTGTTGTTCTTGTTATTCATTTGTTTCTGTGTGTGTATGTTTGCTTTTCAATTCATTTCAACACTCACCCTACCCCCTAATGAAAGCTCCATGATGATATCTCGTATACCAAAATAGAGAATTATTCTACGGTAAATGCTCACTGTTCCTGCATAATGTTTTCAAAATGATTACAGTCTCGACCTATAATTAGTTACATGTACATGTACATGTAGAATGAAAGTGGAAACGGAACATATATGTTCCATCTCATAAGAGTTTGGGTAGGGGTTCTTTGTACGGGTGGGGGGGGGGGGGGACACAGCTCTAACAAGACACCATCAAAATCAGAATTCAGGTCTCTTTTTGAAAGTTCTACTTCTTTAGAATGGTCATAAGGATTAAAGGGAAAAACAATTATTAAAGCAAATATACTTCAGATTCTGTCATTCCAGCAACTATATTTGTTTTCAAAATGAGTTACATTTTCTCTTAAACATTTTAATGTAAAGTAAAGCTTTTTCCGCCTGTTGAAAATATACTGTTAGAATATTGAAGAAAATAGGTTTTGAAGGGAGGAATTATCCATTGCACATTGAATTTTATTTTTCATCTTTAATATCGTATTAAAATCGTTGTGACTGTTGTCTTTAACATTGTGGGGGAAAGGTGATTAAAGCGAAGGTCGCGGTTTTCAAGGCTGTATCAGTGGCGTGCGCGTGCTCTGAGATGGAGGCGGTTCTTCAACACGTCAGTATCAGTGGCGGATCCAGGACACTCTGGAGGAGGGGTGGGGGAGGGAGGGGGGGGGGGAGAATACGTCCAAAAAGTCGACAAGTAAAAAAAGAAAACAAACAAACAAACAACGACCCCAACAGCCCCAACTTCCTATTTTCTTCCGTCCCCCACCCCTCCCTCTTTTTAGAGGGAAGGGGGAACCGTGACCAGGTGCCCAATGGAGCATCCAATAGAATGGTGCTCCATTTATCCCGAAAATCATTTCCCAAGCTGTGGACGATTAGCAGGCCCCGTCCGACCAAAATGTCATCTCGCTCATCCCATCAATAAACGAAAATTCATCGAATGTTATATGGACGTATTGACCGCGTTCATACCGTTATCTTAATTAGTACCTTTGCTTTCTAATGTCCAACTTATTACGCCCGAAGCCCTTTTAATTCCATCTCTTTGTATTCTTTATTTTTCATCTGTCTTCATTTTTCTTCTACAATTTAGTAGTATAGAAGGAGATGGCGTAGAAGGTGTATCAGCTTTAGAAAAGCATAGACAAAGTGGGTACAACTTCAAAGATGAAAGAGAATGACAATATGCCAATTACTACAGACATTATAATTAATACCATAAAATTCTTCAAACAGGACAAGCTTGTTGTATCCTAATCCTAACTCTGTTCAAACTAGTGCATAATTTAATGAACATTATTAAGATAATCTTTCTTTTTTATAAAACAAAAAGTTACTAACATCATATATTGCCACAGTGGGATTATCTTTTAAATGTGAACGCGGGTCCTACCGCTCGCTTTTTCCAGACGCGTTGCGGATTTGAGGAGTGGACAAAGGCATATCGTGAGCGTGTGGGGGTGAAACGAGCTTGCTTTTGATGAGAGTAAATTGAGTTAGGCCAGACGTCCCAGTGAATATTCCCCCTAATTCTTGACACCTATTCTTTGGACATGTTGCTGGATAAAGAGGGCTGGAAGATACATGGAGTTGGATCGAGCCTGATTTTAAAGATGGCCGCGATCTGGAAGAATACGACACGGTGTCTTATTCTCTACCGTGAACTATAACGTCAAGTGTCTTAAATATAAAGTAGACTGAACGTGCGGCACTACAAAATATTCGATGGTTTCTGTGGAAGGATAACGTTGTGCGTCTATTCAAAGTCAATAACACACAATCACTAATCTCACTCCTTTTCAATGTACGATATTATTTTGCCTGTCACCTCTAAAGAGCAAGAAACTATTTACCAAAATGACATGAGTTAAAGCTCTTTAGGATTTCAATAGACGATTTGTGAATGAATTGATATTTCATCAATTGTCAATATTGTTACTATAAGTTACTCATAAGTTATGATAATCATAATTATTATTAGTAGGCCTATCATTATTATAATTATTATGATTATTTATATCATTAATATTATCTTTATTAGTATGATCATTGTTTATGTATATTAGCATTGGTATTAGCAGAAGTATCCATCTTTATCACCATCATCATCATTATAATAAATATTTTGTTAAAAAAGATAAAAAGTTACCATATAGTTTCATCACTTAATTAGAATAATATATTAATGGAAATAAATAGCAATTCAAATGAAAAACAGTAACAATGAGTTGTTATTAATTTGTTATAAAAGAAAAGGATGTCAAACCTTGTCCTGAAAGCTTTACTTGAAAGAGTAGGCTCCAATGTGCCGATGTGAATTGCGCATATGAAACGCTTCGCCTTTTCCAGCATGTCAGCATGTTGTATACTATACACAGCGAGAATAGGGAATGATTATGGCCTATATATGTTTATAATCCATGGAATATGATATCTGTATGGATCACGCTAATCACTGGATGGGTTTAATCGCTAGAGACCATGGCTGCCCACTTTGCGATGATATAGATGCGGTCGCCTTTTGTGATCAAAACAATCCTACAAATTGTAGGCCTTCCAATGCTACTATACTGCTGTACTGGTTGTTATATGTTGATGGTAACCGGTCGATTTTCATTCTTGTTTTTTCTTTAATTCGTTTTTCGTTTTGTGCCTGTCTGTTTGTATTTTTTTGAATTGTTTGTTTACATGTGATTATTTAATTAAGACCATGTGATTTCTGGTCAAAGTATACAATCAATTTTGATGGACAGTCACTCCAAACTATAAACATAGTAACTGATGTATTATCAATCTATATTTTCTCTTTCTCGATCTTAGAGTGTCTACGGTTGGATATTTATTTTCACTATTCTTTTTCTGTAAAGAATAAATCTTATACATCTCTAAAGATAACAATAACATAAATAATATGAAATATATCAATCAACAGGATAGAAATCATAACTTAATTGTTTTATCATGGATTGTATTATCACGGGCAAGCCCAATCTTTTGTCCCATACGTCACAAACCACATTTAAGGTTAAAATATATATCTGGTGATTATGATGACTGAAGTAAAAGAGCCTTTATCAGAACAAACATGAAATGAAGAGAGATATTTGATGTCAATAAACAGTTAACATGTTAATTATTCGAACCTCTTGTAAATTGATGATTTCTTGTGTTTTTTCTGTAACTCAAGAATGAAAGGCGAATTGGTTCAATTTGGATTTAAGCTTTAATTTTCCCAATAAACATAACTGTGGACAAATTAAATTTTTACTTAGGCCTTCTTAAAAAATTACACAACTTGGTAAGGGTATGAATAATTGACTTGTTTACTGTGTTATGTTCAGAACTCTACAATATTTTGTGACGTCACATTGCCAAATACCTACTTTTGCGACCAAAGACGTAAATGTAAAACAGTGAATACAGACGAGTGCCTTTAACACATTTTTAACAGTAAAGGGTGGTGAAGATCACTTCTTTGGCGTCATACTTTACTTGACAGTTGGTTTCCATGGGACGGGTACTTGACTTGAAAGGCAAAACGTTTAAACGAAGTGGGGATCGAATTTTAAAGGGGATAATCAACCTGTGATATAGCAGTCCGAAAGGCTCTTTCCAAGGACTGCTCTCATGTGTTCCTCTTCTTATAGACATGTTGCTTTAGTTCTTTTTTTAAATCGAGGTAATGACACTGGCTTATTGTAACCTTATCATTCAAACAAGGATAACAAAATATTTGTATCACTTAAATTCCACATCCATAGGAGGGGTGGGGGGGTGCGGGTCGAGAATGTATTACGATTCCAAACCAAAGAAAATATTAATAGATACATTAACAAATTTTCATTTCTTGTTTTTTTTAATCATTTACAAATATATAAATGAACAAAAAAAAATGAATAAAATGATAGAATCTTTCTGCTATTATTATTTTGGCTGTGCCCATATCAATTCCTACTGAATTGTAAGAATAACAGATCCGATGCACTATCATGCCGACACTATTATCAAGCAAAATCAAGCAAAATCTATATTGCATAACAATGTTCCGTACACCATTTTTTGCAGAACATTTAACCAGGGAAATGACGATGTCCCTTTAAGAAACTTTTGTTTTTCTACAGACGCTCAAGGACTGTGCTTCGCCACTTTCGCAAAGTTTTATCCCGCCCGATTACGGGTGAGTTCGCTTGGGATTGTAGCCCAATGCCATTCGAATGATTGACCACTAACGTATACAACTATGCGGTCGCTCAGGATTGCAATTTCTGCTACTGCAATACCATGCAGAGATGTGAGGATTGCCTTATTCTACATTCAGAAATATATGATAAACAGACCTTTAGAACAATAATGTTTGGTTCTATACATTTTTTGAGCGCATTAATATTACATAATATATCTTAGCATTTCTGGATTACTTTACGATCGTAATTGTTTGCCCCAGTCTTATGATTGAAGTGAAGTATTAATTCTATGATGAGTTAATTTAAATCAATTTCTAAGTTAAAAACTCGACAAAAAGTCAGAGTTCGGACAATCTAAGCTTTCACCCTCCCCCCTTACGAGCTAAAGTTAAATGAAGAAACTGTTCGTCTTCAATCTTTACAATACTTTCCAATGACGTTTTCTAGAGGTGAACTAATGAAACATGATTTTCAAAATGGCAGCTAAATGAAAGACCTGAAACGTTAGTGTATGTATTCACCAAAAATGCAAAGTGATTGCAAAGTATTAGTGAGAGCTCACACATAAAATGAATCACATAAAAGTTGGTGTAATGACCATGCGACAATGTCACATGCTTGAACAAAAGTGTTTTCTTAGATTTGAAGATGAACTAAAAATTCAGCTTCGTCATCCTTTCAAAGTCTGTTGCAAGTAACCACGAATTTTACTTCGGTTTCAATGTAAAGGTAACGTACTTTTTTTCTCTAGATGGTTCCTATGTCCAGTGCTCGAACTCGTCAACTAGATAAGCCATGTCACTTTCTTTCACAGTCGTCTTCTTCAGCTGTTTCAGTTGCCGTAGTAACGAGTCTTTAACCGCTGTCCTGCTAACCCAATGTGTTATTAGTCACAGTGCGTCAGGTAGGGGTGGTATAGCGAAGGAGAAGACAGGGGGATTAATGCAACTGACAAACCTGGAAACCTGCTCGAACTGGCGAACACAAGGTCTTTTTCACCTGCTCAACGTTTAGTACAAGTTGGGTATTGTTTTGGAGAGTATTTGCCTCTTTTGCTTTAAATTTGCGGGAAATTATTTCCAATAGAAGTCGTATTACATAGGAGATAACTAAGTTAAAGAATGTTGCAAAGTCATGATCAAGTTATTTAGTTTTGTGTGTGATTGTAGTATATAGTACGGTTAGAGTATGGGGCGATTAAAAGGATAAATACAAATATAAGACCTGCACAGATATCTATATCTTTATTATTATTGAGGTCGATATTGAAGACCATACATTTTTTTCTGCTTCTCGTAAGGAAAAGGGATAAAGTACAATTTGACTAGAGTACGGTTTCTTATTCAATTTGAAGTTTCAAAGACACAAAACTATATACGACATCTGTGGTGGCTGTAGGCGCTTCATGTTCAATTTCATTGCAGTACATGTATTTTGAAAGTTAAAAAATATGGATTGTATAGAATTTAGTAAGTTCCTAAAGTTTACTTTACTGTCACCTGCTATAAAATGATAGTACATGGCATTTGCAACATGTTCATCATGTTCAAAAACTATGAGCCATTGTTGTAGTACGCGTCACAACAAGTTCCTCTCATTTCCCCCTCTCTTGGATCAAAATATATGGCGCCAAAAAGATATGACGTCTTCCTCTAATAATGATGAATTTTCTCGGTAGAAACCAAAGCCTTGAAAACTTTTGGGATCGCTGAGGAAAAAAACGCTAGGTCTTCCGGAAGGATAAAATGAGTGAGTGAACGATTAATGCCTTCCCTCTTGTTGTCGTCCTTGGTTTTCGACGTTTACGAGCTGTAAATCGTAGCTTTACCGGAATAATTCACTAGAATTTGCAGGTGTCTGGTTTCGAGTTCTGTTAATATGGAGTACCATGTTTCCTAATGAGAACAAATTATTGGTTGTTTTGATTTTCGTGCACCCCTAGAAAAAAACAATAATGTACTTTCAGGATGGTGATGAAGAAAATAAATAGAATTAAGTATTTGTGTTATCTGATTGATAGTCGTGTTATTTAATATGGATTTGACATTACGCGCGAAGAAATAGGCCTTCGGCACTCTATTGATGGTGATAAAAAAACATACATTTCACAAATGTTGACGATTCTCGTGCTCTGAGGGTCATGGGGGATGGGTTTTTTCTCATTAATATATAGGAACTATACGGCAAGGCTTCATGTAAATAATTGTAGTTGCTTTCTGGTGATGTACAGTATTTCTGTAATACTCTCTGTCAACTTTTCTCTACTTACATCCAACATAGTGCGGCAATTCATAAGACAACGCATGACATTCTCAGCACTTTCTTCACAATAATACATACAGTGAACACGCTGATCAAATTAAAACAATATCAATCAAATGTATCAATCAGTCGGACGTTAAGTTTGTAAAATATACAAATGCATGTCCCGTTATTCAGCTCAGAAAAAAAATATAAGAATTGTATATGATACCATCATGTTACTTGTTGGAAAAAATACTATTGTTTACGTTTGTATTGACATAATTCGTCGCTGTTTTCACGAAGTGACGGTAGTGAAAAAAAAAAATTGCATTCACTTTGCATTACGATTTTCCTCACTACCGTCACTTCGTGAAAACAAGGACGAATTATTGAATTTATAGAGAGATGATCTCACCATGGCATCTGATGTGTTTGAGCTTGTTTCTGCCGAGTCCATTTCGCTGTCCCCATTTGCTTTCTCCACCTGCAGTAATCTTTCCAGTTTCTCTATGTATTCGATGGCATTTCGCAGGATCTCTACTTTCGGCAACCGCTGGTTGGGGTTCGCACACGTATGCCTCTTCAGTGCTTCGAACGCCTCGTTCACCTTTCGAAGTCGTCTCCGTTCACGGAGCGTCGCCGCCTTCCTCTTGTCGACGGCCACGTTCTTTCGCTTGCAGGCTTTGCAGGCCCACATCAGACACCGTCGCTCTCCCTGCCCCGGGAAGCCGGGCGCGAGCACGTGCTCCAAGTCCTCCTCGCGACAGCTTTCGCCGGGGCTCGAGTTGGCCGAATCGCTGCCGTAGCATTGACTGCCGCCGTTCCTCGCCTGATGAGGATGGGCGTCATTTGCGAAGGTATTGGCGTACATGGAGTTGATGGCTGTGTTGGCATTATAAGCGTTCATATCGCCGTTCGTAGATGGGTACCCATCGTAGTAAGACACTGTCTGCATTTCTGTGTAACGACAACTACTCCTCTGCATCGGCTCCATCTTAGAAGTTGTCCCAAGACCACAGCAAACAAATTCAGAAATATCGACGAAGGTCCAAGACCTTTGTTTGAAGAATGGTCTGAAGTTAAAGAGCAAATTCCCAGAAGAATCCTCTCAAGATTAAAGAAATCAGCTTTAAAATGGGTAGAAGAAGTAAGCCGATGCAAAATGAGATAAAGATTCCGTAAAGATGATGACACAAGTTGGAAGACGATGTAGTAACACAGAGCAAAGTGTTTGGATATCTTCTTCTCTCTAAGGACTCCTGGCTATCTGAAGCTTCGAGGGTGGATCGTCCCCTCTTAATAGTAGATGCGACTTACTTCAGAAGAAAGTACAGAGAAGGGTTGACGTCTACATCTACCCCTGTTTCGTTCAGCACGTGAGTTGCAAAAAGAAGACGACACTAAACTATCGAAACAAAACCGAGAAAAAAGTACACATGTACCTCGCGCGCAATACGGAAGTCCGTTTGCCCCGCTACAACAACAATCTACCAGTGGATGCGTTACGAGTTACGAAGAAGTGGAGATGAGAAGAGAGAGAGAGAGAGAGAGACAGACAGAGAGATAGTTTGATCGGTCGGCTACGGGGCCATGTAATGCAAGGGGTCACCGCAGCTTTATATAGGGCTGATCGAGAACGCGTCACACTTCTATGCCAACCAGCCGACGAAACACAAGAGCGCCACTTCGGCGAGATTGCGACAGACTTGAAGAAAAGTTTTGTAAGAGTTAGTCTGTGTGTCAAGCGTTGGCAGGGTTTCAAAGGAAACATACCAGACATTTTGTAGACAAATACCAAGTCTACTTAGCGTTACAAAATGAGCATAACTATTAGTATCATCAATAAATGTATAATTCCTTGCAAATCGTACCTCTCTTAAAACAAAATGGATTTTTCATCATGAAATGTCCTTTTGTTTTTCCAAATTTAATATTGGGTTCTGAGAAAAGAGACTAGGGAAATAGATCATCACTCACTCAATATTGTCTCCTCAGAAAGGCTCTTCATATGTGTGTATCATATCATTTTCACACAGGAAATTTACTCTCTATACACTAACTCGTTTACGGCTCGTTCTTTCGCGCTTGGGCGGGTTAACGGTAATAGAAACTCACACCGTTAATTAGGTACCAATCTCCGCCCCAAGTATAGATGCCAAGATGAAAAGATATCTTTATTGGTCTGTGTATGGGTGGACACACATCCACACGCACACGCACACGCACACACACACACACACACACATATATATATATATATATATATATATATATATATATATATATATATATTTATATGGTTGTATTTATTCTCTATTGTCATCCATGCTATATATCTTTATTTAGGTATTTATAAAATGATAGCATAGATAAGAACAAAGAGGGAAATTAATCCATACATTAATTGGCAAATAATTGAATTTATTAAAATATACTTACTAGAGGAAGAATTTTAACTGACATGTATTTTTAATTTGTTTATTTCTATATATCATCTGTATCATCTTTTTTTTCTAACAGACATATTCATATGAAATGATGTAACTTTTACATGTGACACATACACATTTGTAACGCTTTTTTAAATACAGTACATAACATTGTACAGAAAATGCATAAACAATTAAGAAACAAAAGAAGAAAATAGGCATTACTAAAAAGATGAATGATGAAAATAAATCATAAAATGAAAACTGGAAGAGAATTATTAATAGTGACAAATTGAGAGGGAAAAGAAAATTGAACTAGAATTAATACAAAAGTGATAAAAGGTGATGAAAGAGGAGGGAATGAAAGTTAGGGGAGGGACTGGCGCGCGTTTTGAGACCACGCCCTCGCATCATCATGGCAACAATATTTGATTGACAGGCGCACAAGTGTCTAATGAGTGTGTGTACCAACCAATTGAACATTTCCTTTAAGTTCATACACACGTTTCGTCACTTGTTGCAAGCTGAACTCGATACATGTACACCCATGGCATAACGATATAATGCCGCAATTCACACTTCCAAAAATAACTGTAATCTCGAGGTGAAAATTGATTAATAGCATTATCGTGATAATCACAATTACATTGTGTGAATGAGAAATATAGATAGTTCCAGATATTCGAAGACCTAATTCAATGGTTGCCATTACAAACTCTTCAAAGTAAAACCCAAAATGCGATTCTGATAATTTTAGGTTTTTAGTCCATTTCCTTCAATATTCATAATGTAAACTTAGTCGGCTTTGAACTTAGAACACGTGTATTTATCCAAAGCAAATATATTGAAATTAAACTAACAAAGCAAATCTTTTATCCTTGACTTAATCCTTAATACATGTAACTTATATATTCAGAATAAGATTAAATGTATACCATTACACACATTTTTATATCATTAAGTCTACTTGGCGTCTTCCATGTTGAGTACCCGTTATATAATTTCGTTAATGAAATCGGCATCATACAATTTTTCAAGATTATTCAAGATGAATTTGAATAGGCCTGAACTTTTAAATCCCCCTGTTCACTTCTCCCTTTTAGTTGGTTTCATGTGCCATACACGATTCAGAAGACAAAATGTATGATATCTGAAGTTATATTTTTGACATGATATTTTGAACGGCATTTTCTTTTAATGTCCTCAATACATTTGATTTATTTCGCTTCAAGCCCCACCTCTCCGAAAAAAATAGTAGAGCGAGTAGTACAAATTTGTATTACAATAGTCATGATTATGGAATGTTCAATGTATGTCAAAAAAAATATTAGCAAAAAAGGCCTTAACGTATCATTAATTAACTGTTGTTCTTCTGTGTAATATTATATTCAGTTAAGGATAAAGGTGAGTTCTGGTTAAAAAATTAATTCTCACAGAATCAAAGAAAATCACACTAAATGTTCAAGATTACAAATAAATGTCATTGGCCAAACAATTTTGGTAGAAAATTTATACTGGCCGAGTAATGAGCATAGGAAGATTAGGTAATCAAGGTTAGTAGCCCCGACACTATTTGTGTACTCCCATATACATGTACACCTGTCTGTGTACAGTGCTTGTTACTTTACCAAGACTGGGCCAAATTTATTTTGATTTTGATGACTCCAGAACTTTGCAGTACACACCAATACTTACAGGCTACATGATCAACTTTTTCTGATCCATTCCACACCTTTTCTTTCACAATGCAGTCGGATGACCAGAGCTCACCTTTATATTTAATGTTTTTGTTTAACTTAATATTATAGTTAATTTTTATCATTTTCTAAAACCATGCATAAATATTGTGTTAAATGTTAAAATTTGATATTGTACAGTTCTAATTGTAATGTATGTATATTTCATGAGTATCTTTAATAATCAGGGCTCTGTGGAAGACCAGGTTTTTAGTTTTGTATACTGAACAGACTTCCCTGAATAAAGAAGTGAAATTAATAAATGAAACAAAACGTTAAACTTATAATTGTAAAGAGGGGCAGATTTTCTGAAGTTACGTAATAACATGATGAAACATAGTGACCCGCCTGTGTGGGGGGGGGGGGGTTATTTCTGAAAAAGTGTGAGTTTTCACTAAAGAGGAAGCGAAGAGATAAAGGGAATTTGGCAGTCTTTTCTTCTAAAAATTTGACTCAATCATGACGGACAGGTGGCTCTAAATTAGTTGCATTGCGGCGGGTGTTGGACCCCACAAAAAGGACAGTGATTTGGGGTCATCCACGAGCCGGGCTGAACGGGGGGATTAATCCATCGAATTCTGATTCATGGGCATCAGCCTTCTGCGTGGATTAAATTTAATTCGGAGTTACACTCTTTGGATAAAAATGAGAAGAAAGGGCCATAAAAGTTTGCGTGTAGGAGGAGAATGTCATCTATAATTTAAGAACTATAGGAAGGTCTTCGAGCTGGAAGGTCTGATGATCAAGATAATAATATTCGGTATTTGTATAGCGCTTAAAGGTCGTTATTCAAACATCTAAATATAGTTCATGTATTATTTTGTTAATATTTTAAAAATACTTTTCTCAGACCTGCTAAGCTCCAATCTAAGATAATGTTCCAGATCTCATTCATCTTGTGAAATCATCTGTCAATCATATGTGAGCTAACAAGAGACAGTGGTATGTAGCTTCACCATAGCTGACCACCTGTTTAAAGTAGACCATACAATACCTACATAGGAGTTGCTATGTCAGACGTCCTGTAGCATAACCATATACAGACAGGTAATGATGATGTCACAATATGAATGAGTTCTGGAGCACTTTTTAAGGGTGGAGCTAAGCAGGTCTGAGAAAGCATATTTTAGTATCTAAAATATTTGAAATATATATGCAGCCCTGCACATCAACATGAATCAACTTATTCTTGGATTTCACCCGACCTTTAATGTTAATACTATACATCGACGATGTCACTAAGCGCATTACAGATGCATTATTACCTCGGTCACCATATTCAGGTTTGCCGTCCTCAATGTACATGTATGCACATTCTTCACTTCCTGTGGAACATTCCAGACAGGCATCCTTTTATGGACACTGACGATGCTGAGCAATGTACAATGATTGTCGCATCCTACCGGGTATCCATTTATTTATGTGGAGAGGGTCAAATAGTTATTAACGGCGTGTCAAAATACGTTAGTGCTGGACTTGGATTTGAACCCCGTACCTTGTGATTTACAGTTCAATGACTTATCCACTACACCATACCAACTTCTAGGAAATATATATGTCAGTGTGGACATGGGTTGGGGAGGGGGATGTGCCTTCCGGTCAAGTCCAATCTGGTATCATAAATCAAATGAAAAACTAACAAAATACGTGTATGCTCTTACATTGTTATTGCCATTGAGACTGTGTGATACCTATTTTGTATGCCCAGTTTCCAGTGCAAAATATACAGGAAGGCTAAACCGGAATGACAACCGCGCGCATTAAAAATCCTCCAAAGAGTGGCGGAAAAAAGTTAGGAGATATCAAAAAGCGCCATGTTAAACTAAATAACAACGACACAGTCAACAAGCGTGGCGCCATTTCCAACTCCTGAATGCTGCTGGATCGCAGCCAGCCAAATGTCCAGCTAGCTCGATGGCCAATATGACGAGAGTGTGTTTACAAAAATATGGATGTTTTTGGTTTAAAACCGATCCCAGCTCGACCACAATCCCCATCACCGTGTGTAGATATATCATACTCTGGCGCGTTCCGGGGGCGATTAGTTGTATTATATGCCGCTAAATCTGGCGGGATCATCGTACTAATACTGCTTTTCCTAACGGTAGCGTGCAAGCGAGCTCAGCGCGGTATGCGATCACTTTATCCTTCCAAATCCAATCCGCAGACAGATCGGCGGATGGGTCGCCGGATTGATGGAGCGTTTTTCAGGTACCCCTCGCCATTTGTTGCGAAATGTCTCACTCATATCATATCTGTGGGCGCGATCAAGCTTTGAAATACTGTATTTAAAAAAATCTGCGAAACCGAAAGGATTTGATGATTAGCATTGAAGTGATCACGTGGTGAAGATATTTTCATGAAAACTGAATCATTATAATCCTTACAGTTT